AGTCTGGGGCAGGAATGTAATGTGAGTAAACGTCTCAGACAAACCCCTCCCTAGTTCTCATGAAGATAAAGGGAGGGAATGGGGGGAAGTACATTCAGCCTTGCATGATTCTGTTACCATAACCTTATAATAAAATTAGTAATGGCCTACATGACTTTGTTTTCCTAGTCTGGCCTACCCTGAAGGGCTGCCAGCCACTAGTCAAGTTAAAAAGGTTAGTGATAGCGAGAGGGGAAGGGACCAAGACTTCTTGACCTTCAAATCTAAGGGTACTACTGATGGAGCTGTAATAGGCTGAAAGAGCAACCCTCTGCTGAGATGGGTTGCTAAACTCAATGTCCGACAGTGCCATGTAGAGGAAGGGAATGTTTTAGAGCTCAGATCAAGCTTTGAGGCCACATTTGCTGATGTGAGCAAACAAAAATATCTGTGCACATGCACAGATACAAAACCACTTCCCATAAATATGCTGATATGGACATATATGCAATCTCCTCACAGACATCTACAAACACACACTCCATACTTCTCCACCAGCCAAATGGAATTATTCTGTTTTTAGCAGCCCAAACTAATTCTGACCTCTGTTCTTGGGAGGAAGCCAGGTTTACAATCCTCTACCTGGTACAGGGTGTTCATAGGGGAGCGGGGGCAAGAAGGAAGCCACAAACATGTAATCAAAACAATTCCCTTTTTAAAGTGCCTCATGACATTTAAAAAAAGGCAGTGCTTGATTACATGGTTATGGCTGCTATTGGAGGATACGCTGGCCTAGTAGAAGAAGGTCAAATTCACTTTTTTCACTGCAATTTTGTACCCTGAGAAGGAGAACAAGGCAATCTAGATCCGGGTTCCTCAACCTCAGCAACTTTAAGATGGGTGGACATGCTGATTGGGGAATTCTGGGAGTTGAAGTCCACCCATCTTAAAGTTGCTGAGGTTGAGGAACCCTGATCTAGAGTTTAGCTCCAGAGACTAATCACAGCAACTATTCAACAAATGGCTTGGCTAGAAAAGGAAGCTCCAGTAAATTTTTTAAAGGTAAGCAAATGGCAGCAAGGTCATTCAGCGTTGTGTAGCTTGTCTGAACAGGCAGAGATTGTTGAGGGCCTTCGCAATATTGCCAAGGACACTCCGATATCCTCAAGTGGTGCATTGCTGATCCTGGCTGTAGTGCAAACACTATTCAAGCCAGCCAACAAATAACAAAATTAATGAATAGCAATACAAATAACGCCTTCAAAGCAAAAACCATCCCACTTGAGACAAATGAAGCTCGAGGATAGTTTTTTTCCCCCTTTAAATATAATTAAATTAGATAGAAATTCAGCCATCTGTAAAATCAGAAGTAAATAGCATGTTGATCAATGTCCTATTTCCAGCTGCGACAATCACTGTTACTCCAGAGGAAAGAAAAGCTCCCTTAATATCCTCTAAAAGGAAAACATGTTTCTCAGAACAATACAAATGAGGGAAGATGAATAATGGAATATTCCATGCATTTTCTGAAGACTTTATTAGATTCTGCCTAACCACTCTGTTATCAGCAGTGAATGTCAGTGGCAAGGCACTGAATTGTTAATTAGGAAACATATGAAATAATGAAAAATGGTTTAGAAGATTACTGAATATATTAAGCATAAATAAAGCTACTCCCAAATGTATCATTTGTATGACTGTGTGATCTGCTTGAGTAACGTTTTCTATTATAGGAAGCTGGCTCTCTGTTAATACTTGTTAAACCCTATTTATTTGCAGCAGGCTTTTGAAACAAAGAAGAAACGGAACTTGAAATTTTTGCCTACTCTCATGAATGTTCATTCCAGTTTTTCAAAATCTGAAATCGTTGAAAAGATTTCCCCCCCCCCCAAATGATTCTTATGCCATTCAGTAGGATCAGGAACTATTGGGACCCCCCCCCCCCCCCCCCCTCCTCGGACCCTCTTCTTTCTTTTTTTTATTTTTTTTTTTTTTTC